ATAGATATATATGTATGTGAAATGCAATAGTAAAACTCACTGTCTTATACAATAAATACACACTAATAGACAAAACCCCGAGTGGATTCATTCAGCAAATATTATAATTCTGCTTTATAAATTTGAACAAATAACAAATGTAAAACTACATCAATGATTTTTTTAAGTTTCCAAGCATTATAGAAGAATGCTTTTCTCAAATACAGCAGTCAATAAAGATGCATATCTGGAAAAATCTGGAGGTAAATTGGGTAGAGTTTGAGGCAAAACTAAAACGATAAAGATAGGGAATAAGAGATTATTAAGCAAGAAGCAGAAGATCAATACTGTAATATCGATGACCAGGAACAGTAGGACCAGCTTTGGAAAAGAACTGAGACATCAGGAGCTGCTCTGAGCTAAAAGTATCCTGTGAAAAAATCTGGGGACCAGAATTAAGCAATGCTTGTCAGAAAGATGGTAAGTTCAACAGCACATCTCGAAACAGAATAAAGGTGGGAATCAAGTGGTCTGTATACTGGACTGAGGAAGCCAGGAAAAGAGATGTGTTGATTAGGGTTTTTATTGTTGTAATAGGAACACCATGACCAAGAGCAACTTGGGGAAGAAAGGGGTTATTTTATCTTACAGCTTGGAGTCCATCCTATCCAGGGAAGTCAGGGCAGGAACTCCAGGCAGGAATTGATGCAGAGGCCACAGAGGAAGAGTGCTGTTACTTGCTTCCTCCTTATGGCTTGTTCAGCCTGCTTTCTTATAGGACCACCAGCCCAGGGGTGGTGGGCTGGGCCCTCCCACATTAATCATTAATCAATAGGTCTTATCCATGGACCAATCTGGGGGGAAAGTTTTCTCAGATGAGGGGCCACCTTCCAAAATTGACTCTAGCTTGTCAAGTTCACATAAAAACTAGCCATCTCAGGAAGTAAGACTCAGTAAGTCATATTTGCATCACCCTAAAATATACACACCCAAGATGATCAATCCTCCTTTAGAAAGACAGATGGGATGCGCATTGAACGTATGACAGGAGTCTACTGAGCGCATTGGAAAGACTCTAACTAGCAGTGTTTTCAAAGCAAAGACTCATGACCAAACCTTTGGCAGAGTACAGGGAATCATAAGAAAGAAGGGGAGTTAGTCTGATGAGGAAAGGATAGGAGCTCCACAAGGACCAAATATATCTGGGCACAGGGTCTTTTCTGAGACTGACATTCAACCAAGGACCATGTATGGATATAACCTAGAACCTCTGCTCAGATGTAGCCTGTGGTAGCTCAGTAACCAATTGGTTTCCCATAGTGAGGGGAACAAGGACTATTTCTAACAGGAACTCAATGACTGGCTCTTTGGCCTCCCCACCCCCCAAGGGAGGAGCAGTCCTGTTAGGCCACAGAGGAGAGCTTTGCAGCCAGTCCTGAAGATACCTGATAAAACAGGATCAGATGAATGGGGAGGAGGTCCCACCTATCAGTGGACTTGGCAAGGGGCATGGTGGAGATGAGGGAGGGAGGGAGGGACTGGGAGGGAATGAGGGATCGGGACACGGCTGGGATACAGAGTTAAGAAAATGTAACTGATAAGAAAAAAATAAAATTCAAAAAAAAAAAAAAAAGAAAGAAAGAAAGAAAGAAAGAAAGAAAGAAAGAAAGAAAGAAAGAAAGAAAGAAAGAAAGGAGAGGAGAACCTCCCCTATCAGTGGACTTGGGGAGTGGCATGCATGCAGAAAGGGGAGGGAGGGTGGGATCGGGAGGGAAGGAGGGAGGGGCTTATGGGGGGATACAAAATGAATAAAGTGTAATTAATAAAAAATTAAAAAAATATATACACACCCATACTTTTTCTAGTACATGCAAATGAAATCTATGTTTGTTTGCTATTTACTTACAACTATGAAGTGCAGTGTAGAAATGCCATCCCTCACCCCCATAAGAATATATTTGGAGAAAGGGTCTTTAGGAGATAGTTATGTTTAAATGAAGACAAATAGGCAGACTGTGATCCTATAGTGTGATTACAAAAACAAAAAAATATCTGCCCTCTTTATCTCTCTTTCTCTCCCTCCCACCCTTCCTCCTCCTCTCTCCCCACCTCCTTCCCATTTTCCATGTGAAGGCACAAGAAAGTAGCTGTCTATAGGTCAGGCAGAGTCTTCACCCGAACTCAGCCCTACTGGTGCCCTAGTTTTAGACTTCTAATCTCTCTAGCTGTTTGTCAGGCCTCACATAGTGAGTCTTCCATGGCAGGACAGACTAACTTAGACATTTATCTTTCATATCTTGTATATTCAATGCATTTATTTGTTTTCTGTTTATTTATTTACTTATTCAGAGATAGAGTCCCACTATCTTTGTTCAGGCTAATACTCCTACCCCAGCCACCGGAGGGAGCTGGGATTACAGGTGTGTGAACTACAGTGCTCAGCTGCTATTTTGCATTTTTATAAGTTTATTATTCCCTTGTTGCCATTTCTTACTGATTTGTAAAAGCCTGTTATTTATTAGGGCCATCAGGGTTCTGTTCCTCTGTCCGATTTCTTCCAGTTATTGAGTTACCAGCTTTCCAGATCACTGGTTTTAGCGGCTCTGACACCTCACCGCCTTCACTGTCACATGGTCAGTCTCTCAGCCATTAATCTCCCCAAGAAGTAAATATTCACCTGTAATTTTTCTAGTCTTTAAATACTACTTCTTTATACACAGCTCTGTAAAACATTTACACAAATTAATTTTGTTTTTCAGGTTTACACAATAGTATAACTTTCCCCCTTTGTTTTCCTAGTGATAATTATTTCTCAACAGCTTGACAATCCAGCATCATACAATGAAACTACAACATTGTGATTCTCCCATCCAGAATACAAAAAAAAAAAAAAAAAACATCCCAACTCATGCAAATCTTTTCTTGTATTGAACTCTTGCAATTATTTTGATATAAATACTGTGCAACCCTTTATCTGAATCCATGTTTTTGGAAGATCATTCAGCTTTGTGCAATTTTCTCAAGTAGTCTTATTGTTTCTTCACTTTAGTCATTCCTTCATTCTTTCAACTGTCATTTTTAAGCTAGTACATTCTCGATGACCCTGGATGAGACTAGAGGCTAAACTAATGAAGCAGACAAGTTTCCTGTTGTTTTTTGTTTGGTTTTTTTTTTTTTTCTTTTTATTGTTGTTGTTGTTTTGAATGCAGAAGCAATTAGGAAAGCAAATATCATAAAGTGAGTCACTGACTAAAAACGGAATGCTGGAGGACTGTGGAATTCCACTGTGGATGCTCCTAACCTAGTGTACATGCTAAGAGAGAAAGTCTCAGAGAAAGTGAGACAGTTCATTCTGGTAGAAAAGAAAAAAATGGAATTGAGCCAGGTCATGGTATAATTTTACTAAGTGCAATGTCCGACCCACTTCATTATAAGCTCACTAGGCAACCTAAGTTGGAAGTAGTTTTGTTAAAAAAAAAAAGAAAAAGAAAAAAGAAGAAGAGGGATTCTTTTCTCAAAATGTGCACAAATACAGGAATGAAATATAATGAGACCTAAAAACTAGACCTTCCAAGTCTGGACTTTTACAAAGCTGCTACCCATCACAGCTGCTCTACATGACAGCAGCTCGACCAGCTATTGTAGTTTTTTTATTTAAAAAAAAAAAATGAAAAAAGTGGGTGGATGTTAAAAAAGAGAAAGTCAGTTAATACAACTGTCTTAGTTAAGAGTTCTATCTCTGGGACGTAACACCATGACCAAAAACAACTTGGGGAGGAAAAGGCTCATTCCGTCTTCTGGCTTGCAGTCCATCATAAAAGGAAATCAGAGCAGGAACCAGGAGGAAGTAATGCAGGTCATGGAGGGGTGCTGCTTACGGGCTCCCTTCTTATAGCTTGACAGCTTTTTTTTGCCGCCTAGGGGTGGCTCTGCCCACAGTGGTTTGAGCCCTCAAAGGCCAACCTGGTGGGGGCATTTTCTCAAATGAGGTTCTCTCTTTTGAAATGATTCCAGCTTGTGTCTAGTTGACATAAAAACTAGTCAGTGTAATGGACCCCATGTCAATTTGACACACAAACACAGTACATCTACAGGCTTTTCTTTCTTGCTTATCCCCAAGATCTCACATTAATATCTATATCCCAATAGAAAACATTCCAACTTTTAAAAAGTCCACATTCTTTCAGATTTCAGACACTTTGAAACTTCGGTCTCTTTAAAATATCCGAAATGTTTAAAAGGTAAAAATCCTCTCTGAAATATTCAGAGTCACCAGGCGGTGGTGGTGCATGCCTTTAATCCTGGCAGAGGCAGTTGGGTCTCTGTGAGTTCAAGGCCAGGGCAAGTTTAAGTACAGTCAGAGCTACACAGAGAAACCCTGTCTCAAAGAGCAAAAGCAACCTGCCCCTAGAGGTGTTGCCTGTATGGCTGCTGGATCACACGTGTTTCAGTGGCAGAGAGGAGAGAAGCTATGTCTGTGCTCGGTGTTCTGACCTGTAAACCTCAAATGATTAGCAGCCTGACATTCCCTGAAAAAAGCAAGCCCAAGACAAGTCCAGCAAGCCCAGTCCAGCACCACACAGGCCCTGATGGACAACCAGAGCAGGGAGCAAACTGGTATGATACCAGAAGACCCCTGCCTGCTACTGCGGACCCCAGGCAGGAGTGAGCTCTACACAGAGGACCCTCGCATAGGGCCACTCAGGTGGCGCAGGCAAGGAGTGAGCCCGAAACAACCACCAGACTGGCGCCATGGAAACAAGACAGGTGGAGAGCCTAAGATGACCACCAGTCCTGTGCTGTGCATGCCTACAGGGGCAGACCATGCCTGAGATGACCCCTGCCCGGTGCCATAATTCACAAGCAGGGCACAGCACTCCTGAGACCACTCCTCAGATGACTCCAGACAATCAGAGCTCATGGGCACCACTAAGAGGAGCAAGTAAGTGTGGAGAAATGGAAGAGAAAGAGAAACAGAAGGATGTGGGCACAATGAAGAAAGGCAGAATAGGAGACCCGAGGGTAGTGAGGAACACCCTGATGTGAGTAACAGGTGATGCTGTCCGGGACCACGGTAGGATCACCACCTGTGTTGCCACCAGTGGCCACATCGGGATACGTGGCCCTGCAGCCACAGCAGCGGTCTGCTATCACCAAAGGACAGATGGATATCTCTGGTCTGGGCTGCCGCCCAGGGACATGTTGATGTCTGAAGGCTGTGTAGAACTGGCCCATCCATCATCTGGGCATCCTGGGAGAGCTGGCGGGGGGCGGGGGGGCATGAGAACAGAAGAGCTGACTCTGCTCCTAGCCAGCTGAAGTACTCAAGAGCTGGCCCAGCACATTGCAGGAGTCGCAGGTGAGCTAGCCCTGAGGACAGAAGCATGGGAGAGCTGGCTCTGCCACTCATCTCCCATGCAGTGGTTTGGATGAGGGAGTGATCCCCTCCTTCCCCGTCACCTTTCATCATCTGTGGTAGGTGGGAGACCTGGCCCTGAGACCAGGATAGCAAGAGGGCTATCCCTGCTCTTCATAAGCTGCAGCACCAGGGAAAGCATGTCCTTGTGGTAGGGGTACCAGCGAGACATCATCAAGGGTATGAGCATGGGAGAGCTGGCCCTGACACTTGTCTGCCATGAAATGACATGTGGGAAGGAGAGATGCCCCTCCCTCATGCCCCTTACCACCTACCTCAGGCAGGAGAGCTGGCCCTGAGGTCATCAGATAGGGAGAACAGGCCCCGCCCCTCACCTACTACAGCACTCAGGAGAGTAGACCCTGCACCTTTCCCGTGCAGCATCATGAAGCTGGCCAGGATTGCAGGGGCGCAGGTGACACAGGAGGGCATGAGCATGGGGAGCTGGGCCCATAACCTGTCTGCCGAGTGACAGCATGAACAAGGGAGAGATACCCTTCCCCACACTCGTCCGTTACTACCTGTGGCAGGTGAGAGAGCTGGATCCAGGGTCATGAGAACAGGATTGCTGTCCCTGCCCCTCACCTGATGCAGCATTCAGGAGAGCTGGCTCTGTACCCTGCCTGGGCAGCACAGTAGAGCTGGCTCTCATTGTGTGGTTTGCCAGTGAACAGGCCCTGAGAGTGTAAGAGAGCAGGAGAGCTGGCAGGCTGACCAGCTTAGATACGTCTTAGAACCAGATCCAGGGCTTTGAATTTGTGCACCCCAACATCTACACCATTGATGAACTGCTGGAGTGCATGAAGGGGCCAGTCCTACAGATCCAAAACTACAGGATCTCCATGACACAAGACAACAACAGGGTATCTGAGAGGAGTCCCTGTGAGGATCTAGTATTCATAGTACAGCAGAAGCCAGAGGCCTGGCTCCAAACCAATGAATGACTCATTGCAATAAATCTTTGCAAGAAAAGGTGTGTGGACAAAAAGAGTATACCATGGGACACACTGTGACACATTACAGTTTATACAAGAGATTTTTTTTTCTCTGTTGTGAGGGAGGTTTCAAGGGTTGAGAACAGGTACGAGGGGAGGGAAAGATGAGTGGGATTGGGGTGTATGATGTGAAATTCACAAAGTACCAATGAAAAGTTTTAAAAAATAAAAAGAAAAGATCCAAAGTTTCTCTAAAAATTCAAGGTATCTTAACTATGGACTCCTATAAAACTAAAGATAAATTCAAGATTTTCTTATTTCAAGGGATAAGAAACAGGGCACAATCACAATAAAATAACAGCAAAACCAAAGTCCAGCAGGTCAGGGTTTGACATCTGGAACCTATTCACAATCTTCTGAGCTCCAAAGGGCCCTGGAAGCGTCACTTTTCTAGCTCTGACATCCACACCATACATGCTTTGTCTGCTAGGCTCAGGCTGGCTCTGCCTCATGGTTTCAGCCATCCTTAGTATCCGTCCCTTAGTCTTTACATCTCCAAAATTCTAGGGTCTCCACTGCAACTCTGCTTCACCTTGACCCACAACCTCTCCTGGGCTCCTTTCAGGGACCCTGACCCTGACCCTGACATGGTGCCCATCTTCAGCTTCTCTCAATTCTGGAGAACTTAGCCCTTTTAATTCTGGAGTTTCTCCGCAACTGAGGCTGAACCTTTACCCATGGCCTTCCTCAGTGCCAATCCTCAGACACTGTCTAGACCCCTTCATGCCTTCAAAGCCAGAGCCGCCTGGAAAATTCTTACACATTACCAAGTTTGGCTGTCAGTATGAGGTACAGGCTTGGCCACCTCCAGACAGACCCAACTCCAGTGTGTTGACTCCGGAGAAATACTTTCCAGGAAATTTAGCCTCAATGAACTGGTCTGTTCTTAATCACAGCTGATACTTCAGCCCTAGCAGACCATTATCAATTTTTCCAACAAAGAAAAGGTTTCACTTTAGTGAGTCTTAATTTTAAATATCACCTAAATGGCCCTGATAGAGTCTTTGCTTCCCTCTGAAACTACACAAGCCAAGCCTCTGTTGTTTGCTTTACTCTCAACATCCTTCACATTTTTTCAACAGCTCACTGAGCTCTGAACACTCAATGGCGTTTCTAGCTCAAAGTTCTATAGTCCATAATCCTCCCCAAACCACACAATTAGATCTGTCACAGAAATATCCCACAACGTGGTATCAATTTCTGTCTTAGTTGGAGTTTCTGTTGCTGTGATTAAAACTTGGGGAGGAAACGGTTTATTTCATTGTATAGCTTATAAGTCTTGTCAACACCTTCATCTCAGACTTTTAACCTCCAAAACTATAAAATAGATAGATAGATAGATAGATAGATAGATAGATAGATAGATAGATAGATAAAGTATGTTGTTTAAGCCATCTAGTGTCTAGGGTTTTATTATGGTGACATTACCAAACTCTCACAACATCTAAAGAAAGTATGGGAAAATGTCACAAGCAGCCTACCCTGGGTATTGACAACACACACAATTTTCCATATTTAAAGTATCAGGATGTTAGTTATAAAAACACCGAGCAGATCCTCAAGAAAGCATGACCATTTGCGAAGGAAAATTATCTTTGATAACCTGGTAGTCCATATATTCTCCTCCAGAGGTCAACTACTCCGAGCCTAGCACCCATGAGTCTGTCTCCTTAAGGACGTTATCATTGCTGCAGCCAGACTGCACCAACGAAGAGCATCACGGAGGAGGTAGTGCAGGCATTCAGTGGTTCCCACCTAAAACTCTTCACAACCCTTCCAGTCCTGTCCCACTGTCTGGAACAACCCAGTCCCACCTGCCCACTGGCGGATGAACAGCCTAGCACAGCTGTGCACCAAGGACCAGGAGAAGCACCTGGGTTCACATCAACAGCTCTCCCCTGAGCTGCGACTACAAACCTCAAACAGAAAAATAATACTATCTCATTCTCCATCAGTCAGGGCTTTCTTAAAAAGAGCCATGGGGGGGGGGGGTTGCACGGGAAGTGGAATATAAAGAGACGCATGGAGAAGGTGCCCAGCAGCCATGGAGACTGACGGGTCTGATATCTACACTGCACAGGTAAAGATGCAGAAGTGTTCATGATGTAACCTTTGGTCCAAATCCAAAAGCCCCGAGAACCAAGTGAGCTGATGCTGTAGCTCCAGTCTAAAAGCAAGGAAAAATCTCTCTCCGTGGGTAAGGATCAGGCTCTCCGGTCCTCTCAGGTGTCCCATGGATTGGAGACGTCTGCTCCTTTCTGCTTACTCAGTCTGCTGACTCACATGTCAGCCTCACCCTGCAGGCATTCTCACAGGCTCCAGTGTTCCACCAGGATGTGGAGACCGCATAGCCAGGTCAAGCACAGACATAAATCACCCACCTCACCTCTCAGAGGGAATAAACTCTTCAGCTTTAATCTCTCACATCAGTGCAGCCTTCCCCTCACACAATCTTTAAGTACATGCTTTCAAAGTCTACGTTAATTGTTGCTGAATCAATATCTTGATATTAGCTGGTTTTCCCCAATAAAATAATCTGTAGTATTTGCGGTTTTTAACTTAAATTCAACAAGTGCAATCGCTTGTTTATAATTTTTTTCTTTTCTTATTTTTTTCTTTGCTAGGCTTACCCTGGCTGGCCTCAACCTCAAGACCGCTCCTTTTGTCTCAGCCTCCCAAGCGCTGGGATCAAGCATTTCAGTCGCTTGCTCCTCAGGCATTCCACATTCAAGTCTGTCAGTTATTCATTGGGACCCTTTATGCCCTCTACGCTTGAGCTACTTTAATTTGACATAATTGATAAACTATATTCTAGGACTCCAATTAAATAGCATGCCTTTACATAAAACAAGACTCTATTGTTTTTCTGGGCCCAAGAAAATTTCTAACCATGATTTGATCAAAGCAAGCAAACAAATAAAGCAGAAACACTTTCATAAGGAAATAAACATGTTCAGAAATGTAATTCTGTCTGCCAGTAAATACCACAATTATAAGATATCTTCCTTTTTTTATTATTTTTTGTTTTTGTAATTACAAAGTAAAATATGAATACATATTCTTAAGTTAAACAAAAAAATAAATCCAAGATTACAGATGTAATTGGAGGCTTTTCT